TAGGGGCCAAAGGCGTGCTGTGCAGATTTGAGAGGTCCTTCCTAATGGGGTGCTCCCCAGATCTCTCCGAAGACTTTCCAGGGAACCCCCACACGTCCCAACACACACACACACAAGGGCTCTTCAAGAACGCAGAAGGTTCTGGAGAGGGGGCTGTAACGATGGGCCAGGACGCCTGCCCACAGAAACACCCTGGTACCACCAGAGGGCACCTCAGCCCTTTCCACTACAAAGGCCAGCACACCAGGCAGGTGGCCTCTCCAGCCACCTCCCGAAGGGAAGGTCAGGGGCACAGAGCCCTCCCCTCCCACCACCCCATGATGGGGAAATGGGGTGGGGGCTGGGTGGCTTTGCCCAACTCTGCCCACAGCTCAGCCACCCCAACTTCCCTAGAGGAGTCTCCCACTTCCAGGTGGAGGGGACCTGGGCCAGCCCCCTACCCCCAACCCCTTCAAGCACAGGATCCTCAGATGGCTCACAGGATCTCTTCCAGGGCTGGGCAGAGCAGGAAGCCAGCAGCCAGGGGCTTGGCAGCCTGGTTGTCGATCTTACAGGAAATCAGGCTGGGGACAGAGAGGGGTCTGGGCTGGGTAGGGGGCATCACTGGCTGGTACCCCATTCCCAATCAGGGTGCCTCTGCAGTCAGGGAAGATGGGGGCCCAAGAGGCAGGTGTGGGCAGGAACACAGCTCTTTTGTGTCCCGTGTCCCCACATGAGGCCTCGTCCCTTCAAAGGTCTAGCCAGGTGTCAGGTGGGGCCCACCAGGGTCCACTCACCCATCCCCCCCACCTCCCCCTCCCTCTCCCCTGCAGCTACATACTCAATTTGCCGGAGCAGCGGGAACCCCTTGGAGAACCACGAAAGCCCTTGGCCCAGGGTGTTCTCAGCCAGGCTGCAGGATGGGGAGACAGCGGTAAGGGGCAGCCCCGACCCCACTCCCCACCTTCCACCCAGGCCCCACGACCCGCCTCACCTGATCTCTTCCATGTGCGGACATCCATCCAGGGCCTGGCCAAGGGGCAGTACCCCTTCTGGGCTCAGGCAGCTGGAGGACAGGCTGGAGGGAGAGGAGAGGGGTAAGAGGAGGCTGGGGGACCAGAGATAGGGGGTGGGGGTCTTTGTGGAGACCCTAACCTCAGCTTTTACAACCTGAGGATTTAAGGTCAGACTTTAGATGGCTTATGGGAAAAGCTATCCTAACACCCTCACCCTCCCTACACACACACACACACACACACACACACACACACACACATCCATACATCCACACAGGGTATCACGGGCCCTGGCTTTGGGGGCGGAGACTCCAAGTTCAAGGCTTGGCTCCTGAATGTTAACACATGAAGGTCTGCTCTCTACACCGCTCCTGCCCTTGGTGTTCTTGGTTCTCGCACGGACAATGGACCGACTAGAACGTGGGTCCCACGGGTCCCACTGGGCTGTAGCTGCAGAGTACAGACGCTGGGCTGCAGCCATTTCTCACGCACCCTGTGCGCAGGCTCATGCCCTGAGAGGGGAGGGCTGTGTTTACATGTGGGGAAACTGAGGCTCTGAGGGACAGGGGCGCACAGGGAATTGGTGGCAGGGCCAGCATGAGGCCAGCTCTCCTGGCTCCTCACCCAGAGAGAGGGAGGAGTGGGCGGGAGAGGGGCAGGCAGCCCCAAGCAAGACCCAGTCTGACTGAAGGCCATGGTGGGGAAACAGGGGTGGAGCTCTCTTCCCTGTGGCAGAAGGCACTCACCACAGGGCCCTGAGGTGTGGGGGCAGCCCTCGGGCCAGCATGCAGATTGTGAGGTCTCCCAGGGCATTGGTCCCAAGCCTGAAAGAGAAGGGGGTGAATGATGAGCTCTGGCTGGTCCCTCGGGAGCCTGCCCTGTGCCCTGGGGGAGAGGAGGGCTGGGGGTGGGGTGGGGGATGCTATGGAGCATGGGGGCAGAGGGCAGCCCACCTGCAGACACATACCTCAGTTCCTCCAGGCTCCTACAGAGGCTGAGAGACTCCGCCAGCTGCCTTCCCCCCACCAGGCCAATGCCATTCCCTGAGAGGCTGAGGGAGGGATGGACATCAGAACCTTGGCCCTCCCACCCCAGACCAGTCGCCACCACACGGGTACAGCTTGACAGGGTGCCAGAGAGGAGCGGGAACTGGGCTGGCCAGCAGGTCACTCACCCCCACGCCTACACCCTGGCGGCTGCGGGTGGGGTGGGGCAGGAGGGGCCAGTGTGGGGCCCTGCTTGTTAGATCAGACTCACTCGATCGCCCTGAGCTGCGGCAGCTTCGGCAGGACAGCAGCTAAGTGCTGGGCACCAGCCTCTCCAATCCGGTTGTGGCTCAGGCTGGGGAAGAGAAGAGTGGGATTGTGGGGAGATGGGGGTGTCACACATCCTTGACACCCCATGTCCTCCCACGCCCAGACAGAGGGAGTGTGCATATGCTGACCCTTGGAAGCAAGTGCCTGTGTGCCTCTGAGGGTGGTCCTCTCTTCTGTGAGGTCACCGAGGTGACACCAGAGGATGGTGGGTTCTGAACCTGATCACGTCTGAGCCACTAAGAGAGCAGCTTAACACCAGCCTGTGTGGCCACGAGGTGTCGACAGGACCAGGTATCAGGCCTCCAAGACCCAGAACAAAAATCATAACAATGTGAATGAGGGGGATCGTGGAGTGGAGACTCAAAGCCTATCTGTAGACAATTGGACATCCCCTTACAGAAGGGTCCGAGGAAGAGACGAGCCAGTCAGGGTGCAGTAAGCACCCACTGTGGGGGGAGGTCAGATCCTTGCTATCGCTGCCAGACTGCTGTCTCGTCCCACCACAGGGTGGGCCTGCTCCCTGTTGCTGGAGACAATGGATTACCTCTCTCTGAAGCTTAAGGTCAAAGTTAATCTGCCATCCTAAATCTAGGATCCACCCATCTTGTCACATGTATACCCCCAATTCCTCCCCCTTCCTATTGCATGTATGTCCCTAGATCACCCCCTCCCATCACTGTAATACCTGTAGCACAACCCTTTCCTGTGACGTATGTCTTCACCGGTAATGAGGGGGCTTGCACGTCCCCAATGTCCCCAGAAGGGAGACGTCGGACAGGGCAAGATATGACAAAATAACCATTTATAAACTATCAAGGGCTCATGCGGGAGGGGGGAGCGGGGAGGGAGGGGAAAAATGAGGACCTAATGTCGGGGGTTTAAATGGAGAGAAAATGTTTTGAGAAACGATGTACAAATGCGCTTTACACAATTGATGTGTGTATGGATTGGGATAACAGTTGTATGAGCCCCAAATAAAATGATTTTTTTTAAAAAAAAAAAAAAAAAAAAGCTTGGGGAGCATTAAAGTTTCTCTCTCTCCCTCCATGTGGACCACCAAGCGGGGCTGAGGTGAGCAATGCTATCATGTAATGTGTCTGACTCCATTTTTTTCTATATATCTCTTCTATCTCTCATGCTCTCTATAACTTTACTATAATATTTACTTATTATCGCTGTACAATTGCGCCTACCAAACCGTAGTGATTGTGCTAGGAGCTGGTTTCTTCTGGCAACCGACGAAACATACAACTTTCCTCTAGTTCTTTAATGCTTCCTCCCCCCACTATCATGACCTCACTTCTACCTTATAAATCCGGGTAGACCAGAGCATGTACACAGGTACAGATAAGAGCTGGAAACACAGGGAATCCAGGACAGAAGAACCCCTCAGGACCAATAATGGAGTGGTGACACCAGGAGGGGAAGGGGAAGGTGGGGGGAGAAAGGGGGAACCGATCACAATGATCTACATACAACCCTTCCCAAGGACAGAGTGTAAGACATGAAAAAATAAGAATTATAAATTATCAAGGGTTCATGAGGGAGGGGGAAAAATGAGGAGCTGATACCAATAGCTCAAGTAGAAATAAAATGTCTTGAGAATGATGACGGCGACATATGCACAGATGTGCTTGACACAATGGACGGATGGAAGGGTTGTGATAAGAGATGTACGAGCCCCCAGTAAAGTGATTTTAAAATGAAATAAAATAAAAGAGCCGCCTAGACAGGGACACATGGCGGCAGTTGGATTTTATGTCAACTTGCACGTGTGTAACAGGAGCATGGGTGGCGTGGGACGCATCAGCAGCTAACCACGAGGTCAGCTGTTCAAAGCCCCCAGCCCGCTCTGCGGGAGAAAGACGAGGCTTCCTAACCCCATGACGCACTCTCATCTCAGAAGCCCACAGAGGCCATTCTCCCCTCTCCTGCAGGGTTCCTCTGAGTCACCATTGGCACGATGGCAGTGAGCTTGGATTCACTGCCCACTTGTGTCCCGGTAGAGTCGAACCTGTCAATCAGGCCCCAGGCTGATGATGCCTTCTGGGAGGCGCGGCCTTTGTATAAGGGGGAAACTGGGAACTTCTCCCTCTCTCTCTGCCCCTCTGCCTTCCCGTTTGCTGGGACTCTGCCTGCCTCCCGGGGTGACCCCATGTGAGCCACCCGGCCCTGAGAGCTGTCAACCCTGCCGTGCTTCCATGAACTGTGGGCCCACGTGACTCTTCACCCTCCCACCCCGGCAGCCTGTGATCCCCGGCTTTCCGCCTCACCTGTCTGAGCCACCGGCCTGCAGCTGGGAGCTGTGTGAGTCTGAGGAAGGCCCCAGCTTGCACTAGACCTAAGAATGTAAGCTGGCCTGGGCTGCGATGCTTTCTTGCTATACAATTGCTTCTTGATATAAAGCTCCTTCTCATGCATGGATGCGTGTCCCTGGATTTGTTTCTCTCGACAACCCTGTCCAACACACACACAGACACACCCCAAGAGGGCACCAGGGGAGGAGGAGCTGCAAGCTGAAGACTGCCCAGGAGCTGAAGAACATGCCTTGCTGACAAGGGAGGAACCGACAAGGCCCCGAGCCTGGTGTAGACACTCAGACCCCAGCACTGTGAGAAATACATTTCTGTTCTTTAACGTAACCTATTGGTGGGGTAAGGGGCCCTGGAGGAGGCCCAGTGGGTAAGACACCAGACTGCTAACTTCAAAGCCAGCCTTTCAAACCCACCAGCGGGTCTGCAGAGAAGGGTGAGGCTGTCCATTCCTGTAAAGAGTGGTAGCCTTGGAAACTTTAGGGAGCAGCTCTGTTCTGACTTACAGGGTCAGTCCAAGTCAGAACTGACACCATGGTGGTGGGCCTGGGTTTGGTCTTATGGGTGAGGTGCTGTTAATAGTAGGGAACTAGGACTCCTGGGTGCTGAGGGCAGCTCACACGGAAAGTGCACCATCTTCACCCTGTGTTTGGGGAGGACTCCCAACGCCTGTCCTCCCTGAGGCTGACCTAGATCTCTCTTGCTGCAATGGGCAGTCTTCCATCCTCTCCTGAGTTCCTGCACAACGTGGACGTGGGGGTGGGCGGGCAAAGAGGCCCAGCAGGGAAGTGCGCACGCACATGGCCCTGCCTTTAGCATCTGTCCCTCGCTCCCACCCTGCCAAAATTGTCCGGGCTTGCGGGGAGGGGGCGGGACAGAAAACTCACCCCAAGTCTTCCAAATTGGTGGCCCCTCTGAGGGCTTCAGCAAGGTCGCGGCAGCCGACATCGTTGATGCGGTTCTCGCTGAGGCTGGAAAAGAGGGGACAGGCCGGGGCACGGATCAGGACCTCCACAGGCAGGGGCTGGGCTAAGGACACCAAGCTGGCAGAGGCTCTGCCCATTCCGGAGCTCAGGCATCCGTCACAGAATCAGGGGACGTAGGGAGCAGGGATGACAAGACCATCCCCAGCGCCCACGGGAGAAAACCAAGGTTTTGCCACACGTGGCCTCGGCCTGTGCGCCGGGGATCTGTCGGTCAGCCCGAGAGAATGGCAACTCCCTCGGGATGCCGCCGCCTGGCAATCCCCTCTCAGGGCACAGGCTCACTGTCTGCTGGCAACGACAGCCGAGAGTGAGAAGGCCATCTATTGGAGCCAGGTTCTAAAACACATGCCCGAGGGTTGTTTCACTGTTAGGTTTTTGCAAAGCAGACTTTGCACTGCCTTCAGTGAGCTGAGTATAGGAGAGACACATCTATGTGTCCCCCCTTTCATGGGGTCCCCCCACCCGTGGCCAGGGTGGGGCCGGATGAAAACAAAGCCCTGCTCTGTGTCACTGCTTGATGTGCTTTTAGCCTCAGTGTTTCCTGGTTTCAAAAACCGCGTTCAAAGGAGAGTAATGAAGAGACCCCTGACGTGGAGGGTGCCACAGCAAAGTGTGGTGAAGAAAGTAGATGGTGCCGGCTATCGATCGGATTAGCAGCTGGGTCTTAAAGACTTGTATTCAAACAAGCAGCCATCTAAGCCAGGAGTCCACCTGGAAGAAGCACACCAGCTTGTGTGATCCAAAGACGTCAATAATAAACTTCAAACATGACAAGGGGAAAACACACTGTGCAGAAGGCGGTGGGGGGCAAGTGGAGGCAGAGCACCCGGCCTGATCAAGCCGCTGGCAGACCCCCGAGGTGCTTCTAGTAGGAGTATCCCTTGCTTGCTCCATGGCAAAAACTCCTTCCCTGGCTTTTTAAAACTATCCACGGTGGTCTTTTCTTTCTTACCCACTATTTGTATTTCTATCTCTGTGTTATTATTTTCTCCTTACCACCTAATTTTTTTCTTGTTTCTCTTGGGATTTCCAGTCTGAAGCACAGATGAGTACAGGCATGGAGATGGGACCAGATGCAAGGGCTTATAGGGGAGGTGGGGGGGGGTGGGAGATAGGGAGGGTGGCGGGTAGAGGGAGCAAACAATGTATGTGGGAAGGAGGTGGGAATACTCTCTAGAGCTGATGGAGATTACACAGCTCATTTTAAAAGTGAGTTAGCCGTGTGTGTGTGTGTGTGTGTGTGTGTGTGTGTGAGAGAGAGAGAGAGAGAGAGAGAGAGAGCGCGCGCCACTGTTCTAAAATTGATTGTGGTAATGATTGTACAACTCTTGCTATGATTGAACTATGGAATTGTGTGATACATGGATTGCGTGCCCGTAAAACTGTTTTTTGTAAAAGAGGGAGTAGACTCATTGCTATTTGAAAGTAGACACCGTGGTCAGGGGTTGAAATCACAAGGCCACCAGATCTAAGTGGAGACCTTCTTTGGTCTGCGGAGGCGGGGTCACTTGGGAGCCGGAGAGAATGCAGACTGTAGGCTGCCCAGCCCTGCAGATCCCAGCCCCGCCCAGCCCTGCATCCTGCCTGCATTAAGAACAAGAGTTATTACAGGACTTGGTGGCCACCCACCCCTGTGGGCCCAGGGCCTGCCCAGGGAGAGGAGGGTTGTCAAAGAGCGGCCCCGATGCTGCTCTGCGGGGTGGTCTCAAGAGAGCCCACTCTTTCCCTGGACCCCCACCTCCACCCCCTGGGCCACTCACGTGAGGCTCTTCAGGAGGACCATGTGGCGTAGTCCTTTGGTGAGTATGTCCAGGGACCAGCTGCCCAGTGGAAGATGGCTGAGGCTGGGGAAATGGAAGCAGGTGAGGTCCTGGGGATGCTAGGTCAGATCCCTGACCCATACTGAGGTCCTGCCCATCAGGGGCCTCCCATTTCCATGGTCCACAACACCCAGGACCTGCAAGACCGCCACTTACATCCACACAGTACGACAATGGGATAAAACCAAATCCAGATGGCCTCTCCCTGCACGAATCCCTGAGCCACCGAGGCAGCGGCTTTAGATTCTAGCGGGGCCAGTCAAAGGGCCAGTGAGGAGCACATTACACGCCGAGCATATACTGTGGGGGGGGAGACACCAAGGCTCGGGGTGCTGGGAGACTTGTTCAAGGTTACACACAGCAAGAGGCAGCCTCAGGAAGAGACCCCGAGACTGTACCACAGTATAGGTTTATACAGCGAGAAGGAATATAACAGCTAATTAGTCTGCACAGCAGGACAGAGGGCTCAGTTCAACTCACTTTCGTGGAACAGTTAATATACTGGAAGTCTTTCAACTCATGTGGGCTGCTGGGTCCAAGGTCAAGGAAGCAGACAGCAGAGTCCTCCCTTGGGCAAGGCAGGCAGCATCTGCCCACAGGCAGCAGACAGCAGGGCGGGTCAGCTACAGTCAGGAGCTTGGGAGCTTAGGGAAGCAGGCCCCGATGGGATATCGAAATCAAGCAATGCAAGGCGATGGGATCCACTAGCCTCAAGCTCAAGCGATGTATGCACCAGCAGCGTGGCGAAGCAGGTCTCAAAGGAGCCTCAAGTTCTAGCAACACAACTCATGGGCTGGCTTGGCTCCCAGGTGGTGTAGCACACAGGTTGAGGCAGAGAACTAGCTAAAGTAGCCGCACGCTAGTCCAGTCACCAGAGAGCAAGAGAGAAGGGGGCAGACCTTGCCGAGCCATTTATCTCTTGGCCCTCTAATCAAACTGTGACCTGATGAATCCCACATGTTCCAATTGGCCAGGTTGGGACAATAAACCTACCTATCACATCAGACCAAGAGCTGAACCTGGGCAGTATGGCTTCTAAGCGAGGTCCACACCCCTGGTCATTTCACTGACTACAATTCAAGCAACGCTGACTCAGACGGGAGCCCCTGTGGGGTTCTGAGACTGTCATTCTTGGTGGGAGTAGAAAGCCTCCTCATTCTCCCTTGGCGAGGCTGGCGATTTTGAACTGCTGACCTTGCAGTTAGCAGCCCAGTGTGTAACCACTCTGCCACCAGGGCTCCTGATACTTCTGTGAATAGCACCGTGAAATACCACCTCATTGTTGGCACTGTTGGGGTAAGTATTGGAACACTGACTGCAAGGTCAGCAGTTCAAACCCACCAGCGGCTCTTCAGGAGAAAGATGAGGCTGTCTGCTCCTGTAAAGATTGACAGCCAATCAATCAATCAATCAATCAATCAATCAATCAATCAATAAAAATAAAAGATTTGCAGCCTCAGAAACCTTATCCAGGGTGGCCGAGACAGAGGGTGGTTGTTAATTCAAGATAAGTGAGTGTGCATGTGACCCAGGTCTGGCCAATCAGAGGAGTCTATTCTCGGAGCCACAGGACTGTTTTAGGAATGGGCACATGACCCCAGTCAGGCTGGTGAGATTCCTAGCCGGCCTTCGGTTGTAAGAGCCAGGCCGAGGTGCTCCCCTTCCACAGTGATGGTGGGAATTGCTGCTGGCAGTATCCGTCCGAGGATGAAGCCCAAGTACAGAGAGAGAAAAAGATGGAGGGACAGAGGAGCCAAGAGACAGACAGGTAGCTTTGGAGGGAAACACAAAAACTCCCTGCCATCGAGTCAATTCTGAGCCGTTGTATCGATTTGGAGTGGGGCCTGTCAAACACTGAGCCCCTGGACCCAGCCATGCCTGAAGTCCGCTCTCTGATAATTTTCTATGACCTGAATTAGTCCCTTCCTGGCTTGAGGCAGTTTGAGTTGCTTATCCTCTTTCCTGTCACCAAGCATCTTGTGGGCCATCGGAGCCAGGCCAGGAAGCCAAAGGTTTTCCTCACTTGGGATCCACCCGGCGGCTGGACAGCGGTGTGTGTGAGAGGCAGGAACTCCCAGTCCCTACCGCTCCCGCCATTAACCAACCCCACCGCTTACTCAAGTCTCTTCAGCCTCCACTTCCCAGCAAGGGTCTTCACCAGCTCCCGGGTACCCTCCTCGCTGAACGAATTGTTGGACAAGCTGGAAGCGGCCAAGCACAAGAGGAAGCTTAGTCCAGGCTGCCCCAGCCCTGGAGCTGAGCTCGCTCTATCAGGCCCCCTTGCCTGTCCACTGCCCCAGAAGGCCAACTCCGGGCCTGCAGATCCTGGAACCCCCTCCCATCCATGTTCTGTGGGGCGTGACTGGCCCTAAGGGTCAGAGCCTGGGGCCCTGGCAGGAGGAGAGGAGAAGCCCTTAGGTTCTGGAATGAGGGCTGCAGAAGGACCCTGGATCCACGCACGCACGCACGTGACTGATTGTCCCCTCTGCATCCCAGCGCCCCGGGGTCCGAGGAGAGTAAGGCTTGGGGGCTCCCTGTTACCGGCCAAGTTGGGATAAGGACACAGGCTCAGCCTGCCCCAGTCCCCCCTCCCGCCCCACTCCCACCCCTCTCCCACCCCTCTCCCACCCCTCCCTAACCCCACAGGGCAGGCTAAAGTCCCACATCTCTCCCAGCCCAAGGGTGAACTGCCCTCTCTACTTTCTGTCCCGAGAACCCCTCAACTCACTCCAGTTCCTCAAGGTCCTGACAGTGGCTCAGGCCAGATGCCAGGTGAGTGAGACCCTCGATGCTCACATAGCTGGAGGTCAGCCTGGTGGAGTCAAAGGGCAGCAGGTCAGACAGGAGCTCCGAATGCTGGCAGCGGAGGCCATGGGCACAGGGCAGGGGTGTGGTTCTTTAGGGTCCTGGGCAGGGACCCTCTCCCTTCATAAATCCCTCATTAGAGCAAGAGAGGCTGAGCAGCAGGGGCATTGGTGGGCTCGAAAGTGCCCCTCACCCACAACCACTCAGGTAGACCCTTCACAGCACTGCCATAGCGCAGTGTAAATAGAGGCCGAATAAAAAGAATGACCATGAAAACAGAGTCTTTCAAAAAACCTAGCCAGCCCCAATAAAATGACTTAAAAAAAAGCAGAAAGGAAAGAAGTAGTTAGAAAAACAAAGACAAAACCCAGCCAGTTACTGTTGCTTGCCACGAGATCCGAATCCTGATTCCACCCCGCCAAGAATTCAGTAAGCATCTTTAATATTTTTTCTTCAAACCTCACTGACATAGAGTCGGTAAGCGGTTTCATAACTATGAACGCATCCTTATTATTATTAATTTTTAAATAGCAAAAGAGCGAGATTTAGACAGGAGTAAGAGGAGGTTTTTACTCCGTTGATGAGAGTGTTGGGGTGGAGTGCAACCTGTCAATCAGGTCACAGCCTGATGACGCCTAGCCTGGCAGCCTCTCCCTCTCTCTCTGCCCCCTCGCCTTCCTGGTTGCCGGGACTCTGTGTCTGCCTCCAGGGGCCTCCTCATGTGGTCGGCCCAACCCTGAGAGCTGCCGGCACCCTGCCACGTTTCCACCGACCTTGGGTCCACACCACTCGGCCCCCACCGCTTATGACCTTCCTGCACCCGATTCACCTTTCTGCATCACTGCCCTGCCGCTTCCTACATCTGAAGCTAGCATCCCACTTAGGGACTGAGCCGGGACGCCTTCTGGATAGGGAATTATTTCTCGATATAAAGTTCTTTCTTGCAGAGAAATGAGTGTCACTGAAGTTGTTTCACCAGACCACCCTGCTGAACTCCCCACCAAACAGATAGCTGATGCAGGCATGCATCTGCAGGATGCTAAACATCCCGGGCAATACCTCCCCAAAGATCCTTCTTTGTGACAAAAGGGAACTAGTAGTTTCCCAAGGGAAGACACCTGTCAGCCGTTCCCTTCACCATGGGACCCC